TATTTACATAAATGAAAAGCATATAAATTTCATACCTAAGCACAAAATGTATGCAAAAATTCTGCATGCATGAGGACTAGTCAAACAAAATTATTTATTAATTAAGTTACAAAAGAAGTCTTAAAAATTCTGAATAGCTATCACATGGAATATGTTTTCTGACCAGAATGTGATAAAATTGAAATCTGGTAACAAAAGGATAACAAAATAAAGCTACATATATCTGGAAAGTAAAATATATCACTAAAACATTCTTGTATTAAAGAGAAAATCTTGGAGCACCTGGGTGCCTCAGTCAGTTTAGCGTCTGCCTTTGGTGCAAGTCATGATCTCGGAGTCCTGGGACTGAGCCCAGGGTCAGGCTCCCTGCTCAGCAGGGATTCTGCTACTCTCTCTCTCTCTCTGCCCCTCACCCCTGCTCATTCTCTCTCTTTGTCTTTCTCTCTCTCAAATAAATAAATCAAATCTTAAAAAAAAAAAAAAAGAGGAAATCCCAAGAGAAATTATATTTAAAGGACAATGGCATTCTAAATGTAAAAAATTGTTAACATGTAGTTAAAAATCAATATTTAGAAAAAGCATAGTTTTCAACATATTTATCAGAATGCAGGAATTATAAAAAATAAATGTACTAACTGCAATTAATCCACTACTGAAACAAGAAAGGAGGAAAAAATTAAAATATTGGTAGGAAATATTAAATATGTTTTAATTAAAATATTAGGAATGTAAAGGTTAACAAGACAGACAAAAATTGTGGAAAAATAACTAAGAAAAAATATTCAAATAAAGAATGAAACAAGAATAACTAATTATAGATAGCAAAGATTTCAGTATTTTAAAAGCATATTATAAAAATGATAGAAAATATGAATGCTTAGAGGAAACATATAACTTTCTTGAGAAATGCAAAACACCAAAACTGGCCCAAGAAAAACCTGAACACTTGGAGAGAGTAATAGCTTTATAAAAGGTTTTTAAAATCTTCCTCCACAAAGGCACAGATGGTTTTACAGCTGAGTAATAATAAACTTCTAGGGAACAGAAATTTCTATTTTATGCACGTCATTAAGTCTCTCTTAAAGTCATTTTTGAAAATAGAAAAATAGAGAAAACTTCTTAACTTATAGTGAAGTTAATACAACCTTTGTGGCAGCTTTTGATTAATCCACTCTAGTGAGATGTTCTGTTACTTATAGGAGGGATGCTTGTGTAACTAATAGAAAAAAAGACTTGAATTAAACAGATACATTCCATAAACTTGGATTAAAAGAGTCACTGTGATAAAAATGCCAGCTCTCTGCAAGTTAATTTAGTAGTTTAATGTAATTACAATAAAAATGCAAAGAAGTTTTTCCAAGGGAATGAATAAAGTGATTCAAATGTTTTCTTGAATAGGTTGAACACTACAGGAATTTTTGAAGAGTTAAATGAATCTGATTTATTCTGTCAATGTTTCATGTATATTCTAACAGCATTGCACCAAAGAACGAGAAAACAGAACAGAATATAAAGGCTAAAAGCAGGCCAGAGTGGAAAGGCACCAGTTCTGTAGATAATAATGCTGGCCTTCCAAGCAGAGGGAAATACAGAAATGAGCATTTAATAAAAGTGCTATCTTGTCAACTATCTTGTCAACTCCTTGGAGAAATTAAATTAGGCAGCTGTCTTGAATTATACAACAACTTCCAGGATGCTTTATGATATTCGTTCGCCAAATATTTAACCACTGACCATATGTCAAGAACTATGAGAAAACAGGATACAAGTGTGAGCCAAAACAGAGGACCTGAGAGCCTGGTGGGAAGATAGGTAATAGGCCAAAAGGAGGGCTGACTGAGATAATCTCGTCCAATGTACTTTTCTCAAAGAGCACAACATGTATTGGTTTGACATAATGCAATTAAGAGAACACTCACTAATAGGAGACACTGTACAGAGTCCGACACACGTGACTCTCCATCTCCACCCCACATTTTGTGCATCATCTTGTGAAAAATATTTAGTGCTGTAAGTATTGGGGCATTTATGCTAACCATAGAAAGAAAGTTAAAACTGATAGTGGAAGTGTACAAGATACAAATCCTCAGTGACAATCTCCTGAAGAAATAAATATGTCAATATGTTAAACATATAACAAAAGAGATGACAAGAATTAGAAGTGAAATAATGTGGTATTTGCTTGATCTTGAGGTGAGGACGAACCCCCAACTCTTAAAAACCAAAGTTAAAAGAAAATTACAGATTTGGTTACTCAGGCTAAAAATAAATCAGCTCTGTTAGATATACAATGGGTGCAGATTGTGCAGGGGCCTACAGCAAAGTCAGCCATCATTTTCTGTAAAAAGCCAGATAGCAAATAATTTAGGATTTGCAGGTCACATGGTCTTCATGCAACTACTTGACTTGGCTATTACTGGAGCACGAAAGCAGCCACAAACAATAAACAAGCAGATGTCTATGGCGATGTCGAATACACCTTTATTTACAACCAAAGGCATTGGGCTAGATTTGGCCAGCAGGTCACAGTTTGCCAACCTCTAGGTCTAGACCCCACAGTTGTCTACACAGTGAGTACACCTCAAACAGTATTTACAGAGTGCGGAGTCCTTAGCTCAATTCAGAAAATGGAGGATATAACCATATACTGTTTCTGCTTTTTATCCTCTTTAGCTTCCATAAAAGAATGTGGGCTCCACTTCCAGCTCAATTATCTGTCAAAAGGTAGGGCCATACCCACCTGGCTGTAATACAGGCTGTTGCCCGGATATACCGCTTTGACCTCACGGCCTCAAAGCTGGACTGAGAGTTACAACATTTGAGGAAGACTTTTTTAAAGAACAAGTCGTCCATCTATTCTTCTAGATAATCTGTATTCATGGGCCAAATCAGAGCTGCAGAGAAAAAGGTCCCTAGATTGCCTCTTCCTCGCACTCACTCACTTCCAGTAGAACTTTCTCTTTTGGCACTGCTCTTTGGTTTGAAGATACCAGTTAATGCAGAAAACCTTTACAAGAACTAGCCCTAAGATAAGCACTGCCACTCCTACTGTAAGGGAATTCTGAGTTTTGCGATCATTATAGAACTTGTGCTTCCTTTGTCTCCAAGTGTTTGTATCTGATTCAGAACTAGGAATAGTCATAAATCATCTGGAAAACCCATGTATTTTGCCTCAAAAATTCTGTGAACTATACAAATGGAAATGGTTCAACCCGACAATAACAGGTGGGAGAGAAATGGGCACTTAGCACATTGAGTGGCATAAATAAATTTCTCTATCACCAAGAAAAGCCATTCTGGTGGCAACTTGGCATTAAGTACCACAAGTCCCCCAAATACTCATATTCTTTGATCTAACAATTCCATGGTGAGAAATTATCCCAAGGATAAGTACACACATATCAGTTACAGTGTAACTTAAGAATAATAATTTTTTAAGACCTGGAAACAATGGAAATGTTCTAAGACAAAAAATTAAGTAGATCAATGATAAGAGATCTCTATAGTAAATAAACATCATTTGCAGAAGAACATTTGATGACATGAGAAAATTCTATTAATTCATTTATACAGGTATCAAGAGTAGAAATTTAACCCAGCATGTATTGTATAATCCCAAATACCACAAAATTAGGCTACTGAATGAGATTTTTGGCATTTATACAAATGTGCATTTTTCAAAATTCTATAATAAACCTAAGTTTTTTTTTAAATAAAAATTTACACTTAAAAGTACATTCACTTTGATACTAGTCTTACAAGTATAAATTTATCATAAGGAATTAAAAAGGCAAGTCAAGGCAAGTCAATATTAAGGCATGGTAGGTATAACATCAGAGCATATAAAACTGAACTATTTACGGTACATCAAAATTAGAAATTATAAATGAAAATAAATTAGAAATCAGAAATAAAGTTAGAAATTACACATTCACAAGGATCAACCTCGTTTTTCACATATAGGAGAACTTTTTCTTCCAAATGGTCAAGTCCCTAACAGGCTCGAAACCACAGAGCTTTAGTGCCTCGGGGGGGGGGCTCTAAATAATGACACACTTGCCTTGACAATAAGCATGTTTCCTAAAACAAGGAAGAGTAAACTGTTTGGGGACCCATTCATCAGTGTTTCTGTTTTACATGCTGGAGTTCTGAGCAGTTAATCTAGAAGACGAATGTATGTGTTATCTGCACCTATCTGCCCTTTTGGGATCCTTACTTGGCCCTTTTCTGATAGTTGCTGCCTTGGGAGACTGACCTCTTCACACTCCTCCTGGGTTTGGCCGATAGATAGGAAGCATTCAGAGGAGGAGAGAAGGGGCTGAGTGTCTATCACCCTTGTCTCCAAATGTCGCTTTTAGCAGTGGCTGGATCTTATAAAGATGCCCTTGTTTGGGAGGAGAGGGGAGGAGGGGACAAATCTCTGTTCCTCTTTACCCATCAAGGCCTTCTTTTGGTTGGAAGTTGGAACAACTTCCTGCTGTTACCAGTCCCTGTGCACCTCACTATCCCTGGGGGAGTTCTAGTGACTCTGCTCAAATTTCATTCATTAAACTTTAATTTCTTCAATTAAACTACTTAGGTATGTCATTTGATTCCTTTTGGGATCTTGTCTATTTTAGGAAAAGAAAAAAAAAACCCTTCTAAGAAATTATTGCTTTAGAGGAAAGATTATTGTCAGATCCCCCAAATTCTGTAATACTGAAAAAATAAAACCTGAACTTACCACGGAAACTGCACATTTAAGCTACAGCTTGAAAATATGGAAGAACAGACCAGTCATAACCTATCACTACACAAATAACAAGCATTTAAAAATTAATGGTTGTGGAATGAGATCTACTTAAATTTTACCTTGAAATTCAATGAAATTCAAGACAATCTGTTATCCAAAGGCTTTCTTTTGAAAGCTGATTCTTCTCAATACATTTTTCAAACCAAAATATAGATGTAATAATGAAATGGAAAGGTATAGAAAAATATTTTGCAGATCAGCAACTTACCTCTTTGAACTTGTGACTGAGCTTGCTTGTGTCCAGGTCTGATGGGGAAAACATGTCCTCATTTTCAGGCAGCTCAAAGACTTCAATGGCCATGTCACCGGCAGGAAGAACAGGTCCTACTTCATCCTCCTCTTCATCTGTGGCATATTCTCCTGTCTGAAAGGAAGGGGATTTCAGAGATCCAACTGTCCTTAGCCCAGGGAGAAGTGGGTTATTTGAAAATATTTTATGAAAGAGAAATAAAATATGTCACCAAATGGTGAAGTGTAAGTAGGCTTTTAAGTCAAGCATGCCTCATGCAGCCAATGTTATAAACAAATGTTAGTTCAAAGATCCAAAGTGACATGTCTGTGCCATATGTGAGTGCCTTCCTAAAAATCTAATAGCATCAGCAGCATCTTTAGTATAGCAACAAAAGTTGTCTTCCATCTAAGTATGTGATGGTTTTGCAAAATAAAATTATATTGCTAGGGGAAATAAGTAATTCCTGTAAATCCCCACCACTGTGTGAATAAGTCACCCAATACTGAGAGCAGGGAAGAAGGAAGGGGAGATCAAAAGATTCGCAGAGCTGGAAGGGACCTTAATTCAAGCCTTATGAAGGTTTAGCAGATGGATTCTCCTAAGCTTCAGAGTTCAATCAGCTCTGTTGTCTTTGCTAACTAATGTGTTGGTTACCCAGTGACCTAAAGGACAACCAGAGACTGCTAACTTACAGCCCGCAGAGGTGTACTGCTTTGCCTGCAGAGCATTCTGATAAATCCTAGTATTTTGTTGATATTAAATAAAAAATTCACGTGAGATTCCAGATCCCCAGTTTTTCTTCTGAAAGCTAAAGATCTGGCATTATGGGTATGTTGTGACGTGAAAACAACGGGCTAGTCAACAGTGGTTGCCCCTTTGGGATGGGTTACACACCTTCAAATGCACCAGAACTTTCCTAACTCTGCACTGTTGTACGCTGTTAGCTTCACTTCTTCATGGTACCCACATGCCCCTGCAGCTCCATGAGTTTGCGGCCCCTGGAATCAATGTTCCTCCATACCACTAACTTCCTTAGCCTTATTAGAAAGTAGTCCTGTCCTGGCAGCACCAAGCTATGAGGCTCTAATTTAAAATAACTGTTGGAAATCTATACCTTATGACATAATTTAAAGATAAATCATAGATTCACAGGGTCGAAAAACAAAGTTCATTTAATGTGTCCCTGTTGTGTCAGGTGGTATTATGGATAATATATAAAACAGACAGGAAATCATATTGCCTTTAAAAACACTTTCATAAAGTGTGTGGACTGATCTATTCCTTTGATTAAATAGGCTCAGCATCTGATTGCTGGTTTGTTTTTTTGTTTCTTTTGGTTCTATACTATATTCTTCTTGCTAGAGCTGAAATTCTATTTCTTTCACTGTTTTGCACATGAAGAAAATCTGGTCGTTAACCTCAATGTCATAATTCCTAATGTCTGAAAGACCATTATTAAATTGCCATTCTGATTGCTCCTTTCCAAGTAAAATAATTCTGGTTTCCTCCTGGGTCTCATTCTCTGTCATCGTCCTTGTGCCTCTGCTCAGACTTCTCTCCAAATTCTCCACACTTGTTTAACAGGATGGAGCCCAGAAGTAGGCACAACTTCCAGTAAGGAATCTGAGGGTCGTTGACCCGGATGAAGGAACTGCCTCGGCATCTTTCAGACACTACTTCCTCATGTGAAGGCTGGTATCATGAAGACCTTGACTTTAGTGGCATTTGTGCTTAGCAGCAAGCTCAGTGTATCTCTGGGATGAGAGAGCCTCTCAGAAACCAGTCAGAAAACATGCAGACTCGAAACTCCATTCCAAGTGCCTCTGGCACTGACAGGAGAAGGTAGCGGAGTGGTAGGGGCCGCTGATTCTAGGCAGCTCCTACTTATTGGGATGATTAGATCCTATAAATCTTAGAAGAACCCTAATTCCAGATTTGGTATTACTTTTTGTGATATTCTGTAAATTAACTCATCTCCTATTTATATGTATTTTTAGAACCAATAGGTACTTTCTAAGTCCCAGGGCCATTAATTAATAGAAATGTAGTAAGGTTGGTAAGGACACAATCTTGATACCTTGCTGAAACTTCTGGTTTAGAGATATTAGACTGGGTGCTTGTTTTTTTTTTTTTTTTTAAATTTTATTTTTTATAAACATATAATATATTTTTATCCCCAGGGGTACAGGTCTGAGAATCGCCAGGTTTACACGCTTCACAGCACTCACCATAGCACATATCCTCCCCAATGTCCATAACCCCACCCCCCCTCTCCCAACCCCCCTTCCCCCATTAACCCTCAGTTTGTTTTGTGAAATTAAGAATCACTTATGGTTTGTCTCCCTCCCAATCCCATCTTGTTTCATTTACTCTTCTCCTACCACCTTAACCCCCCATGTTGCATCTCCTCTCCCTCATATCAGGGAGATCATATGATAGTTGTCTTTCTCCAATTGACTTATTTCGCTAAGCATGATACCCTCTAGTTCCATCCACGTCGTTGCAAATGGCAAGATTTCGTTTCTTTTGATGGCTGCATAGTATTCCATTGTGTATATATACCACATCTTCTTTATCCATTCATCTGTTGATGGACATCTAGCTTCTTTCCATAGTTTGGCTATTGTAGACATTGCTGCTATAAACATTCGGGTGCACGTGCCCCTTCGGATCACTATGTTTGTATCTTTAGGGTAAATACCCAGCAGTGCAATTGCTGGGTCATAGGGTAGTTCTATTTTCAACATTTTGAGGAACCTCCATGCTGTTTTCCAGAGTGGTTGCACCAGCTTGCATTCCCACCAACAGTGTAGGAGGGTTCCCCTTTCTCCGCATCCTCGCCAGCATCTGTCATTTCCTGACTTGTTAATTTTAGCCATTCTGACTGGTGTGAGGTGGTATCTCATTGTGGTTTTGATTTGTATTTCCCTGATGCCAAGTGATGTGGAGCACTTTTTCATGTGTCTGTTGGCCATCTGGATGTCTTCTTTGCAGAAATGTCTGTTCATGTCCTCTGCCCATTTCTTGATTGGATTATTTGTTCTTTGGGTGTTGAGTTTGCTAAGTTCTTTATAGATTTTGGACACTAGCCCTTTATCTGATATGTCATTTGCAAATATCTTCTCCCATTCTGTCAGTTGTCTTTTGGTTTTGTTAACTGTTTCCTTTGCTGTGCAAAAGCTTTTGATCTTGATAAAATCCCAATAGTTCATTTTTGCCCTTGCTTTCCTTGCCTTTGGCGATGTTCCTAAGAAGATGTTGCTGCGGCTGAGGTTGAAGAGGTTGCTGCCTGTGTTCTCCTCAAGGATTTTGATGGATTCCTTTCTCACATTGAGATCCTTCATCCATTTTGAATCTATTTTCATGTGTGGTGTAAGGAAATGATCCAATTTCATTTTTCTGCATATGGTTGTCCAATTTTCCCAACACCATTTGTTGAAGAGGCTGTCTTTTTTCCATTGGATATTCTTTCCTGCTTTGTCGAAGATTAGTTGACCATAGAGTTGAGGGTCTATTTCTGGGCTCTCTATTCTGTTCCATTGATCTATGTGTCTGTTTTTGTGCCAGTACCGTGCTGTCTTGATGATGACAGCTTTGTAATAGAGCTTGAAGTCCGGAATTGTGATGCCACCGACTTTGGCTTTCTTTTTCAATATTGCTTTGGCTATTCGAGGTCTTTTCTGGTTCCATATAAATTTTAGGATTATTTGTTCCATTTCTTTGTAAAAAATGGATGGTACTTTGATAGGAATTGCATTAAATGTGTAGATTGCTTTAGGTAGCATAGACATTTTCACAATATTTATTGTTCCAATCCAGGAGCATGGAACATTTTTCCATTTTTTTGTGTCTTCCTCAATTTCTTTCATGAGTACTTTATAGTTTTCTGTGTATAGATTCTTAGTCTCTTTGGCTAGATTTATTCCTAGGTATCTTATAGTTTTGGTGGGTGCTTGTTTTTAATCCGAATTACAACCAGCAGCAAAACCATGCCTTTATTATAAAGGTCTAAACCAGGTAGATTAAATTCACTTCCACATCATCAATTTGATGAATTTTCTGAATGACTCCATAAAATCTGAAGCTAAATTTAAGGTCTGATGACACTGTGGCACATTTTAAACACAAAATTTGATTTCCCTTTGCTGGTTTGAAAATAATTCTTCACTATGTGTAAGGGAAGGAATATAAACATGTGCCCAGAATGGGGTCTGACATATAATAGGATCTCAACAAATATTTTTAAAAGGATATATCCAAGAATGCCTATTACACTTGCTACTTGGTAATATCTATAACCTCCTAGGGAGGTTTTCAATAATATGTTTTTTTAAAAAATGAACTGTAAAGGCATTTGTTAGGAAGACAGTATTCTGTCACTTTTATTTTTTAACACTTCTTACAGTGAGTAACAGGATTAGGGCATATAACAATATATGTACAATATATGCAATTCTTATCTCTAAGTATAGTTCTGGCTTTGTCATCCATTTTAGTCTTCAAAATTATGTTCATAAAAATAAGTTATTAAGAAGTCTTCCTCTTGATTCATTTTTTTACTTTATCAATCCCTATCCTCAATATCCAAATTATCTGCAATTCTGCGAAATTCTTTCTTATCTTTCATTTCATCTTCCTACCTACTGATGCTTTCTCTTTCTAATTAGTTTTAGAAGCATACTAAGGTCAAGATAACGTCTTTTAGTGTCTGGATTCTACTTATTACTTATTAGAGGTTCTGGATAGGGTGTTTAAAAACTACCATGCCAGGTCGTCTGAGTGGTGTAGTTGGTTAAGTGTTCGAGCCTTGGTTTCAGCTCAGGTTGTGATCTCAACGTCCATTCCAGGGTTCTGGGACTGAGTCCTGCATGGGGCTCTGCACTCAGCAAGGAGTCTACATGAGATTTTCTCTCCCTCCCCACCCGTTTTTCCCCCTCCTGCACACTCTCTTTCTCTCTAATAAATAAATAAACATCTAAGAAAAATAAAATAAAAACCATCATGCGCAGTGGAATTTAAAAAACAGAACAAATGAGCAAGGGAAAAAAAAAAAAGAAAGAGAGAGAGAGAGAGAGAGAGGCAAATCAAGAAACTGACTCTTAACTTTATTTAATAGAGAACAAAGCACTGGT